ATACAATACCGCTGCTTCTGTGTCACTTGGAACTTCAAATTCTAAATAAAGAAGTGAGAACCAGGTTTCTCATTACAAAGCTGGACCCAGATATAGCAGCACATAAATACACAAGCAGAGTCAAGGTACCATTTATAAATAAAGGAGTAGGAACCAGGATCTCAATTAAGGAAGCTGGACCCAGATATAGCAGCACATAAATACACAAGTGGAGTCAAGGTACCATTCTGACCCCTCTCCCCCTTCCAAATATTATAAATAAAGGAGTAGGAACCAGGATCTCAGTTAAGGAAGCTGGACCCAGATATAGCAGCACATAAATACACAATCTGAGTCAAGGGACTTCTCCCCATCTCTCCCCGGTCCCTTCCCCTGACTTGAAATTAAAACTCAATGAAAAGACACTACCTCACTGAGGTAAGGTCATCCCCCATTTTTTTTTCCCTTGGTTAAGCACCAAATGGGTTTTCTGATATTGGGTCTATCGGTAGGATTTGAAATAAAAAATACCTAAAAAAAATCACAAAAGGTCTGTGAATAGGAGGCCTGGTACCCCAGCATCGTTTAAAGAAAATTAATATTTACTGTAGAAAATATTCCTGATTTTGTTCCTGTTTTTCTCTACACTGTTACTATGCTCATTTCTCATATTAAAAGAATTATTTTCAGGGGAAAATGGTTTAAAATTACTTTCACGTGACTTTTTTTTCTGAAAATGCCAAAAATTTGGTTCGGTCGGCCGATACTAAAGAGAGAAAAAAAAGAGGATGGCCTAAAAAAATATCCCTGGTTTAACTTTTGGCCAGTATAGACGAAAACAAAGTGATAAAAAGGCATAAAAACCACTAACACAGAAGTAAAAGCGGTGTTAAGTCTAGAACTACATCAACAATAATAAAAATAACAAGGATCGCAACAACAAACTGCATGAACTTAAAATATGTTCATGTACTGTAGATTGTTATTTAAGAATGTTTCTTCTCAGCTTGTTGCTTCCTTATTTTTACATGCATGCGAGTCACGAATAAAGAAACCCGACTATCTCAAAGAAGCACTGACTCAACCAATTCCCTAATTTGTATTAACTATGGTAATCAAGTGTTGACAAGAGCAGAAACTCACCAAAATCGTCCCCTTTTGAATTCCAAGAGTTTTCTTCGCTTGAGTTCGCTATACAGCATTTTTTAGAATTGTAACCGTCAGGAAGAGAATCAAAATCTGGCTGAGAACGTTTGGAAGTCATAAATACCAAATTAATAAATTTAATGAAATCTGTGTTTCAGTCACGGTTCACACTTGTGTTCTTTTGATTGGCAGCCATGTTGAATTTTTAACAAACTAGACCCAGTTTCTTGCGAGGGCAAAACCCGATGGTCACAAGTAATGTGGGCTCCAGGTTAAGACTGAAGGCGCTTCTAGCACATACTTCAGTTTGCACTACATTCCATTCAAAACATGAAATTACACACGTACACACATAGAATGCTGTAAAAGTGAAAGATAAACTGACGAATCGTCTTTCGAACTGAACTGGCAAACTCAGATTTCTCACTGTCAGTTTATTTCGCCTCATCGAGTGGCCTCCCTATGTATTTTCACTGCGGATTTAAGCTAAGCCTGTGTCCAGCCCCCTACAACATAAGACTTAAAAAGAACACTGTTCAGCCTGTGCAATGCTAAACGCTCTAGTGCCATAGTTTAATCAAGTATAGCGGAATGAAACAGGTCTTCGCAAATTATTGATTAATAATTCAAAGACAAAGTCACACTTTTCCGATGTAATCTCACTAGAGATGTTTGGAGGTTTCCTAATCTCGCTCTGCTTTTTAACGGCAGCAGTTGGAATAGTCTGGTCATCGGCTGATCCAAGAGGAACGCACAAATTGCACAGCGAGAGACGAAATAAGCACGATGAACGAATCGACTTCCACCGCACAAAGAAAACACCGAAAGCCGAACAAGCGAAAGACAATGACAACGCTGTGAACCTTGGAAACATCCTTTTCGATCGGGAACAACTCAAAAAGTACGTCCTTGATTATTTGAAGAAACATCACGCGCGCGATCCAGAACTTGGAACAAAAATAAACAGGGAGGAGTTCACATTCAGTCACACTGACAAAAAACAATCTGGTAACCATCACAACAGGTTGAAACCCAGCATATCGAGCACAAAACCAAAACAAAAGCCGCGTATGCGAAATGATAATCACGAGGAACACAGTGGTAAAAAATCAATTCATCTGCACCTGAGTCAAACAAAACCCACGAAACGGACATTATCTAGAAGACAAACGCTTCGTCGCTCGAATCAACGAAATCATTCGAAGCACCGGTTGTCACAAAAGTTTCACTTGCCCGTCTACTACAGTGTCAACGAAGTGAATGGAAAGGAAAACTTTATTTTTGACCACCCCTTTTCTTATAATTATAAATCAAGCAAACGGAAATCAACAACAAGAGGAAAGAAGTCCGGTCATACCGATGGTCGAACCGGCAGCCGAAGAAATAAAATCGCAAGAACGCAACATAGTCTTCGAGCTCAAAGGAGGGAAAATTCTCACTCTGAAAGATTAGTCGCTCATTCATTCCCACGTTCTTTAACACATAGGAGTCACAGAGGAAGAGCATCACATTACAGAGGAATTAAACGCAAACACAATTTCAATGATCACAGGGAAGGAAAGGATGGGCTGAGACGTGAAAAATCTAAGAAATCCCAGAAATCTAACAAAAGGGATTTTATTGCAATACTCCCGCCCAAAGCTGTAAAGATTGAGGGCTTCGATGTGGAAAGAGTTCATTTTCATTCGTCTCATGAGAAACGGAAAACAGTTGGGTCTAAAATAAAAAGAGAGAGGCATATTAAATCGCGAAAAAGCCTGGAGCTGACACCTGTCGCGAAGGTCGTTGCTATTCGAAAAAATAGTAATAGGAAACACGACCATTCAGTTGCTAAAATATCACATAAGACTGATCATCATGCGACTAAGGTTATAAAAAGAAAGGAATTGCTTCCCCAGAAAGCGAACAAGGAATCCAAGAAACAAAGAAGAAAGGGTTATTTTCACAAAAGCTCTAAGGAATATAAAGCCATCAGGAAAAGCCTCGTTGGCCCTCCAGCATCTGAAAGTCACCTGCATCCTCACAAAGATAAAAAGCACCATCACAAACGCAAAAAAGTAATTGAGCATAAAGAGGAAACTTCAACTGTTCAAAAAAGACAAAAAACAGTCAAAGATAAAGACACTAACACGGTGAAATTTTCTCCTTCTTGGAAATCTCTAGATAGAAGGAAAATTCCTTCTTGGTATGACGATGCTAAATTCGGAATATTTGTACACTGGGGTTTGTATTCGGTTCCAAGCTTCGATAATGAATGGTTCTGGTACAACTGGAAGGCGTTAAAAAAGAAAAAGTATGTGGATTTTGTTGAGAAGAATTATCCTCCGGGATTCAGCTACAACCAGTTTGCCCCGATGTTCAAAGCAGAATTCTTTGATGCCAATCAATGGGCGAAACTGGTGGCCCGATCAGGGGCAAGGTAAGAATTTTGCTCTGAGTACTTCGTCATCAGCAAAATGATCTATATCGTCCATTTCCTTCTACGTTGCTTGAACTAGGACTTTGACCCCAGAGGAAGGCAGTTAAAATCTGCACATGGCACCAACGCGCCCTCTCATATACCGTGGGTTGCAATCAGGGAAGGGCAAATGGAATTAAAAGATTGCTCGTCATTAGATTTCAAATGATGGCTGTAATGATATTTAACTTTGAACTGTTGAACAAAGGCTAATAATCTTTATCTGGTGTTTACCTTAACGTTCGTCTAGCAAATTTGCCAGTAAGGGTAAGTTCTTAGGTATTCTCAGCCGGTCTTGCCTTTTTTTTTTCTCCATTGTTCTGATTTGCACTCCTCTCCTTCGAATTTGATTGAAACAATTGGATGGTGGTCAAATTAGCCATTACATATCATTGCTATTGTTCCAGGTATTTTGTGTTCACCAGCAAACACCACGAAGGTTTCACAAATTGGAATTCGAGCACGGCTTGGAACTGGAATTCAGTTGATGTTGGACCTCATAGAAACATTGTTGGTGAGAATTGAAAACTAAATATGAATTCCTTAAATACTTTCTGATTTTCAGTTTACATGTAAACACAATCAAACGAAACCAAACGTAATTTTTGACCTGCGAATAATACTCATCCAAAGAAACAATCCTCGCGCGTAAGTTGCTGTTAGTGAAATTAAACCGGGGAAGCTCGAACATTTTCAGGCTTGGACGTGAATCGAATCCGTGTCTGCCATATAGTAGGTGAGTGCCACTACTTGTTCTTGGGTTGAATAACCAGGAATAAGTCGTCAAATAAAAGAATTTATTTCCAGCTCAAAAGATAACAAAAGCGAGATGGCAACTACAGGTAAGTACCAAAGACCGAGGTCTTCAGCCGCAAAACCATAAAAGGGCGGGAAAAGGAGTGTTATTTGAACAAATCCTTCGAACACCACCAACTGAGCTACCAAGCCTCATGTTGAGTGTGAGACAAACTTTAGTGGATTCGATTCTTTGTTCCCGTAAAAGAAATCATAAAACAATATATTACGACTTACTGGTATGATTGCGACCAGTTCCGTTACAGTGACATATAACACACATCACTTAGGGTGAATATAATTGCTCTTGACCCGGCAGTGGATTGACTTTGACTTACTGAACGCGTGAACCATTTATAAGCGTGTCCTTTAAACTTTAAACTTTAATTATAAATACTCCCGAAAAAAGGTTTTTCAGTACTTATTTACAAATATAAATGCTAACTATATCTGACAAGCTATTGTCAAATTCTAAATTCTAACTGTCACTCGATCATTCGTTCCTGGCAAGTTTCAGGACTTCAGTTAAAGGCCTTCACAGATGTAAAGTTTCTCAGTAACGTTTCCCAGTAAGGTTTCTCCTTTTTGGGTTGATTTGAAATTTTTGTTTTTAGATGAACTTGCAAGAGCTTTTCGTAATCTGAATGACCCGCATATAAAGTTTGGTTTGTACTATTCGCTACTTGAGTGGTTCAATCCTCGCTTCTTAAAAGACAAAGCTAATGACTTCAAAACAGATGAATATGTTCAGGTATGTGACCTCTCTAGAAGTACTACATAAAAAAACTGTGTGAGTTGCTCGCTCTCATAAGTTGATCTAATAGGCCTTTTACTTTGAAACTCATAAATACCACGGAGAAGTTAAGCCCTTCAGATGAGCAATATAGACGAATTGTTATAACAACAGCTTCTCCCGGTTGCCTTACCAAGAGGCCCTTCGGCTTGACTATCTGAGTATTCACTATTTACTGGTTTGTTAATAACATAATGAGCGTGGTACACATCGTCTGATTGGTCAATTCAGTTTCTAAGCGGATGTGTTTTCAGCCTCTAGAGCCCGGTCATAAAGGCAGTAGAACGCAATTTTCCGAGCTCTACAGCATCATAAAGTCTTGAAAAAAAGACGAAAACGCTTTAAAATGATGGAGTTTTGAAAAAGTTTCTTCCTCGCTTGCTCTTTTGTGGTATACCAAAGTATAGTTATTTGCCTAGGCTTGACTTAGACCATGTGTATAATTGAATTTGAATACACGAAAATCATATATGCGGACTACGGTTTCACGAAATGTATGAAAGCGAGTGTCGCAGTGATTGAACCCTGTAGTAGTGGAAATAGGGTCTGAAAAAAATTTCAGGCCCGTGCAGGATTTGAACCCATGAATTCCGCGATACCTGTGCAGTGCTCCACCAACTGAGCTAACAAGCCAACTGGGACTGTGTTGGTAATTATTAGATGATATTTATTAATTAGGAATTTCTCGGTGTTTTATCAGGCTGTTTTAAAACCTCAGTTGTACGACCTTATTAATACATACAAACCTGAATACCTATGGACAGATGGCGATTCAGCAGCAAATGCGTCATATTGGAGAAGTGAAGAGTTTCTAACGTGGCTGTTCAATGAAAGGTGAGTACTTAACTGTGACCGTTACGGTGAAGCTGAAAAGAGCCTTAATTCGTACATACTAAAACAGTGGAAGCGTTGAAAGAGCGTTCTGATTGGCTACTCAAACTCCGAGTATCTTTTGTAATTCACCTCCGAGCAACCCGCGCAGGATTTGCGTCCGAAGACATTGTAGTCATTGCTGGAATAAATGAAATGAAATTATCTTTTTGTGCTATATTATCTCGCTGATTTGATGTTTTGATGTTTTGATATTCACCTCAGCGTCGGTGGCTAGCGAACCCGAGATATTTACCGTGACCTCGCAACCCACTAGACACCTGCACTTCGGTGAATAGTTGTTAACTACCACGAGTCTTCCATAAAGCTCATTATTGAAGCATCCGAGTTAAAAATCAGCATGGGTCAGAAGGGCTGGAATATGAACTTCAGATCATGGTCGTTTCAATTCATCACTGAAATAGATCATCTTATTTGAAACAACAGGGTTATGAAAACATATCATCGTCAATTTGATTAAAGTAAAAATCCTCTGTAAAAATTTACATCGTTGAATTATAACAGCAAGAGTTGGCTATCAAAAGGCTAGGTTCGACTCGCTTCAAAGGTCACTTGCTAGCTCTTTCAGTCTCTTGCTCTCTGACTTGAAAAAGAAAGAAACGAATTGCTGATCAGCGGATTGCCGTCGGAGTTCTTGTTGGAAAAAGAAAAGAAGTGGTGACATTGGAATTTCGTAAAAGGAACATCGTTGCTAATTGAGGAGGATGTACAACAAAACATTGTAGTCAAACCTTAAGCTCTGGCGTGGATTAAAATATACACGCTTAAGCATACTATCCACATTTTATTCTGTTTTTAGTCCAGTTAGAGACACCGTTGTGGTAAATGACAGGTGGGGGCGTGGTTGCCGATGTCGTCATGGGGGAGTGTACACTGGGTTGGACAGGTATAACCCTGGTGAGTACAGAAAACTGGAATGTCTTAGGTATACTTACAGAGTGACAATACTAAGATGTTAACACGAAAGACATGTATTAGACTCCATCAGAAGCAGAAAGTATCCCTCACAAAATATCGGTATTGTTGAGTACGGTCTATGATCAACTCTAGCCAAGTAGTGCATTTAATCTTTTTGTGAAAAACTACGTAAATCTAAGGTACAAAAATTAAGTGATAGGAACATCTTTGACAATACCTACCGTCTTAGAGAAAACGCAGTGTCAACTGAAGTCACAACAAGAGTGAATAAAATTTAGAGACTGAATCCTGCCTGTAGCACTCAGTCTTGAAGTGTTTATCATTGGAAGTTACTCTTAGATCAAGAAGGCGAGGTAGTTGGGATAAGGAAATAAATTGAAAGGGTTCGCTCTGTTTACAGGCAAACTCCAAAAGATGAAGTGGGAGAATGCTATGACAATAGACCGTCGTTCCTGGGGATTTCGACGGGAAGCAAACCTCAAAGATTACCTCAGTATTGAAGAGTTGATCAAACAGCTGGTCTCCACTGTCAGGTAGGCGAGGAGATTAGGGTGTGATATGAGCTCCACCCAGGTGAGCATGTGTTTAACATGTTCAACTGACTGCAGAAAATAAACTTATCCCGTCTGCTTTCAGTAGTTTTCGTCTAGTGAGATGAATAATTCCATTTCTACTTTGTCCATTTCTACCTTCGTACTCTAAGTACACTAGGTTGAGTAAGCACTAAGATCAGAGTTAAAGTGTTTCCAGCTTCCATACTTTTCATTCTTGCAAGGCAAGATTAATTCTTAAGCTTAGTTATCGTTTTGCTCCCAGGGATAATGAGAAGGGGTTGCGAACTTAATAAGTTTGACAATTTGAAACCAACAAGCAGGCAGACGATGGTGCTCACAAGTAGACATCGTTATCAGAAAATATTTTCAACAAATTTTATCGATAAACTGATTTTGTCAAGATTACGTAAAAGCCTATGGCACAAGGGCCGATGTGCTGAGGCGCAGAACACTGCATATCTGTGCTCAATAAATAGGACACAAAGTTTGCATGAATTATCAGATCGACATCTTTAGCGCCTATACTTGACAATGTGGTTAACGTTCATACTTCATCGCAACAGTAACAACGACGACGTCAAGGACAGACATAAGACGTTCTCATCAAGTGTCATGAACATCAGCAAACGGAATTAACTGACCAAACACATAACAACAAACAAAAAGAAAAGTAACAACTACTCAACCATCCTCTGGAACTTACAGAAACAGAAAAACAAGTAGAGAGGTTTTCTCCGCAGGTAAGAAGCAATGAAAGAAACTGCAGAAAAGAAGCCTCGAAAAATTCTTACTTTACGGGATTCGAAACGAAAAAACCTCGACTCCCCTATGTTTGTTGGGTGCGATTGCAAGTACCAACCAAGTGAAACCAAATGTTGGGCGCAGAGAAATTTTTTCAGTTGATTCTTCCTTCCTGTAAAGAAATAATTTATTTCATTTAATTGTAACCCGAAACAGAGAAAATTTATCAGTTTACATCTTTTCATGGCAGCTGTGGCGGCAACTTACTCATGAATGTTGGACCAGCCTCGGATGGTACTATCGCGCCCATTTTTCAGGAGCGTCTCGCTCAGATGGGAGATTGGTTAAAAGTGAATGGCGACGCGATTTACAAAACCAAACCATGGAGAGCTCAAAATGATTCAGTTAACGGCGATGTTTGGTAAGAAATCCTTGACGTGACTGTAGGTAACAGAAAATTCTGTTTATTTGTTTGTTTGTTTGAAAACGAGTACGGTTTTATTTAAGTAAACTCCGTCTTTTGTTTTTCGTATATTTTTGTCGGGTATCTACTCTAAATCAACTAGACTTTCGCGACGAACCGATACTGTTGTTGTATTTTTAATACTGCCTTATTAATTGCCTTTGTGTGTCTGAAGATGTGTAAATGACTACGAAACAGATTAAAGGAAAGAATTGCACTTTAAGCTAATGGGACATATCAGTCGCGAATATTCACAAAGACTGTTTTCGGTTTGAACGGGCCGAAGGTGCTCCTGATCTGACTTGGCCAAATTGGAATCTGCCACCCGTTCCCAAACCTTGTGCGGCTAAAAAGGCTAGAAAATACGCTAGGATTCAGATATTTTTAAGATTAAAATTAATCCTGCTAATTTCCCACTCATTAGGTATACATCGAGAGGAGGCCATGTTTACGCAATCGCACTTAAGTGGCCACCGTCTGGAAAACTGGTTCTGGGGGATCCCATTTTTATACCAGACGAAACAAAGGTCAGAATATTGGGAACAGAAAACGAACTCAAATGGAAACATGGATCAAAACAGAAGAGTGGAAAACGTAAAATAGAGATACATGTTCCAGTTCTTCCTGTGTCAGAACTCCCTTGCTTGTGGGCATGGGTTTTTAAACTCACGGACGTAAAGTGATTTGTTTTCAAAACGAAGCTGAAGCCTGATGGGACGACAGAGCTGAATAATGAAATGCAAAGTCAGCGGGTATGCGAAAATAACAAGGGCTGACCTTTAAAACCGAGGAACTCTGTTTTCGTCGAAGGCACTTCCCTATTTCCAAAGGTTTAAATTTAATTTTTAATTAAATTTTTAGGGGATGCACCAAATTTTTGGTGCGTCCCCTAAAAAGCGGCAAGGAAAACGACGCCTCGAAGCAACAGAAGGAAATCAACCATGCGAATGACTCAAAATCCGTGTTTCCGCGGCAAAACCTGGCGCATGCGTATACGTTATTCAGCTCTGTCTGATGGGAAATGTTCAGTCTCAGGTGCAACAACAAAGCACAGATTTCATGCGCTGTTTTAATGATCATCGGTTAGCTTACATGGCAGGAAATCTGTACATAGCACTTGCGTTAATGTAGAGGAACAATGCATTGCTAGAAATTAAACACGAAGTAACGCAATACCGAAACAGAATCAAGAAGAAAAAAAGTCCCATCATTTTTTCGCTTGAGATAATCCATTCTTTAAAATACATATGCTAAAATCCAATGGTGTTTATGGAAAACAGAATAAGCTAGATTTACTTTAATTTTTTTACTCTTACCATGTTCCAATAACAGCTGTAGTCCACCGTATCGAAATATCGAAATTTAGAATTTGCTTTGCCTCAAAGAAGCTCGTTAACTAGCTGCTAGTCGTGAAATGAGCTTGGGCTCTTTTCCTGAAGAGAGAGCCGGTTAGAAATCGAACTTGATAGATAAAAAATTTCTAGTTGTGATAAAAATCAGAAATCTAAAAATTATGTCAGATGAATCAAATTTAAGATAGTGAGGGTGTACAGAGGGTTTAGACGATTCACCTTAATTTCAAACCACAAATTTTTAGGCAACCATTTTCATGATCAGATGATAAACCGACGATAGCACATAAAAATATCGACATTCATTCAAAGTTGAGATTTAAGATTTTGCTTTGGATAGACTCTAGGTGTAAAATTACAAGTTCTCTAATAGATTATAACAAATCTTTACTCGTCCAGTTTGCATTGCATGATGACTTCTAGTTTCTTGATTAAAATCGATTATCTCAATTAATTAATTTACATCATTGCACATTCAAGTGAGAACGGTCTTTTCGTTTGATCAACGATTGGTGAGCGATAATGGAGCAGTCTTCAATTGAAGGTCGAAAAACTAAAACCAAAGGAAACCCAGGGACCAATCAGGTCACTTTAAAGGGTTACATCATCATTAGCCGATGAGAACTCGAAGAGAAAACAAGCAAACTCCTTGAAGCGCGGGAAACACGAATGCCCAAATCGCCTATGTTTACACTTTTCCATTTGATTAGTTGAAAGGATTCCGCGAGTTTTTTTAACCAATCACAAAGAAAAGTTAGGTACCGAATTTTTTTCGAAATTCGATTGAAAATTGCTCTAACCAGGAGGCTTTTGATATCATTTTTTTTTAATGCGGCTCGGATAATGTGTTCTGGAATTGGAGGCCAAAGTGAAATTGCAGATCCACGATAACTGTGCCGCTAGGGTAGAACTTCATGAATTTTAAAACTTGTAACCCGTATCTATCTTGTTGTTTCGGCAACTTTAATAAAGTTTTTCTGCATACAGTCCGTAATTTTACCAACCGTGTGCGTTAATGTTTGTCATTGGGAAGAAGTTGTCTGTGTTATAATCATAAAAATGTCGGAAACTGTGAGGCGTAAAAAGTCACTAAACACTACGTTAGAGAAATTTGCAGCGACAATTTACCTTATGTAATTCAGTTGGGGAATTTCAGTCAAGTTTTTTTACCTGCTAAAGAATTTTTTACTTGGAAAAATTTGCGCGTATGACCAATATTTCACGTTTACAAGTGGACACTGCGAATCGATTTGCAAATAATGCGAACTGAGTTATTCGTCGCAGCCACTTATGGCTGAGTGGGTCAAGTTTTAATTATAAAAAATTGTCTTTCTTTTTATGATCCATGCTTCCTTATACAAGTATACAATTACATTATCAAGACGATAAGATAGTTCAACACCTTACTTTCTCGAATTGAGTTCTTCTAAAATCATTTCTTTGGAATATTCAGCCGTGATAAGATAGAAACGTTTCAAATGCCCTGCCTTAAATATTAGTTGCCTTTGATTTGAACGCGGCTTTGGTAGAAACGGGTCTTTGAAGGCCGGCAAAAAAATTGATGAAAGAGAACTAATCTGCGGCATGGTGCCTTTAACCTGTTGGACCATGAGATGGACTCTCCAACGAACGATACAAGGCTTTGCCTCTGTGTAAAAAAAAAAAATCGTTATTTTTTTCATTCAGGTGTGCAAACCAATACTTTTTAACTTTGCACTTTATCAGATTAACATCTACAGGGCAGATAGTTCATTTATGGACACACGTCATCTTTTGTCTACGCGATCACGAAATAAAAGAAGAATTATAAGCTATCCGTAATATTTGCGATGTAAGATCATCGTTTTATTCTGTAAACTATCAAGATAGTTAAATGTTTTAACAGGCGTCTTCCGAGTACAAACCGATTCTTTCCCGACCTTTTTAAGTGCGCCGCCGATAACACAACACAAAGGCACATCCACAATTCTTTTCCCTCAAAACAATGGGAAAAAATTAACCTTCATTGTTATGATTTCATGATTGGTCAAATTTTTCAACAAAAGAATTCGTTACAAAAACATGAAAATTTTACATAATTTTTTTTGAGAGGGAAATATGTTTTTCGTCTTTCCTCAAGCATGGGAAAAAGAATCTGAGCCTTTTTAAGGAATGGAACCCTTGACACTACTTTTCATGATCAAATTGATCGGATCTATTTGGAAAATCCTTAGAAATTATTACACCACCCCCCCCCCCAAAAAAAAATCATCATGCTTCTGAACTCGCTCCTAACTGTTTGCCAGAAATTTGCATGATAAACATTTAGACGGTAGACGCAAATAAGTTGACCGTTCTCTATTGATGCTAACCGTGTAATCCTCGCCAACAAAACAGAGCTAATATAAATAAAATTACGCAAATTATTTAATTGACTCCAGGATATACACGTCGCTTTTATAAAGCAAAAATAATAACCGTAGAAGGCACCACCGTTTTTTCAACAATAACTTTGTTTTAGCTTACTTTAACTGCCTCTTTTTTAGGGTTTTGGTAGAAAAGCTGACCGTGAACAGCTCCAGGCTTAGGCGAGATGCTGAAAAAGAGGCCAATTAGTAACTTCATGTCAACTTTGTTACTCTCCTCTATGATAAAAGTTACCTGATTTTCTTAAGAATTTTTCATACTGGAGTGCAACTGAACTAACTTGCAGTCGTTCTCATTACCACTAGGTAAACTGTTTGCCTTTTGCGCGCCAGACTTGTGCAAACAGCGGCTTACGACAAAGCGAGTTTTGTTCTTCGCTTTGTCGACTGCAATGCAGAACCAGGCTATGCTGAGCTGTGAAAGTAATCAGTGTTTGACGAAGGGCTAACTCTCGAAACGTCAGTTTTTTAACTCTTTACGGTGGCCAAATTACAATTTCAACTTAGTTGATATTACCAAAAGACCTTGTTACCCCCACCGACGCAGCACCACAGTTTCTTTAGAAACTTACCACCTTTATTCATTTGAGATTATGCCATTGCCCCTACGAACAGCATAGCACTATGATCCATATCAATACTCTTACCACCTTTATTCATTTGAGATTATGCCATTGCCCTACGAACAGCATAGCACTATGATCAATATGAATACTCTTTCGCTGGTCCTGTTTTTTTGGAGCCTTTTGAGAATCAAGTTCTCCATGAACGTTTACAGATGAAGAAGGAGAAGAAATTACTGGAGAATTGGAACTGAATGTGGAAAATGATCCCTTAATTAAAGAAACCCACAGTGGTCGTCCTTCTCTTCCGCCTAAGGTAAATTCAGTTTGTGGCTAAATATTTTAAGTACTACTAAGTCTTTTAAATAAAGAAAACATGCTGCACTTAAAAGAAATTCGAGGCTAATAAAGGGTTTAATTCTAGCTCCGCATTGTTGGCCAATCTGCATAATTATTCTTTCACGTCGTATCGTTTGTAACACAGACACAATCATAGTTCAACTTCTCTTAAGATCAGTTAAAAAAAAAAAGTGAAGTTTTCTATTTCATCAAGTTTTCCTTTTAGGTTGTTAGTCACCAAGATTCTGCGCCTAAACTTTAGTTCGGTCTGATCTCGCGGGAAACAGTAAGAAGATGAACAATGAAACACGAGGGAAATAAAAGAGATTTATTTCAGGCTCAGACCCTACGCCATTTCAGTTAAGTCGTTAAGTTATCGCAACAAGTTACAACTTACACTCCGGTCATGCATGTCTGCTTGCGCCACTGTTACAAATTACGTGAAAGGCAAAAGAAGCCAGAGTGTTCACTGCCGCAGTGCTAACCCTTAAGATACTACTCAAAACTTACTTTTTAAAGTTAGTTCTAAGTGGCAGTCAGTATAATTATTTCAGTTTTTAACAATTTTCAAAGTTCTTCGACTTTAGTTTTATGATATTACTATCATTATTATGATAATTGTTATCATCATAGATATCATTTTATCATTACAGTAACCTGCAGCTCTAGAATAAGACTGAGAAAACGACTAGTAATATAATTGGTGGTTTTTTAGCCATTGAAAGTTTGCTTTTTTTACAAAAATATTGTTGCAAGGTTCTCATTAAATGCTTGCATTTATTTTTGGAGTGCCCCAAACCATCCCGTCCCTAAATGACACGTGATGAATTCTTAGATGAGAATGACCCGCGTCAACGCCTATTCGCAAGAAGGCCATCAAATTAATTCGATATAAACCCGTAGATAATAAATCAAACAACAACAAACATATGAAACATATGTGTGAACTGCGGTTATGAGACGTATATGAGAACGATCCTTCGCAGTAAAGCACTATTTGAGCAATAGTGAAAATCAGACCTGAAAAAAATTTCAGGCCTGTACGGGATTCGAACCACTGACCTCTGCGATACTAGTGCAGCGCTCTACCAATTGAGCTAACAAGCCAACTGGGAGCAGGCCATCAAATTAATTCGATATAAACCCGTAGATGATAAATCAAACAACAACAAACATATGAAACATATGTGTGAACTGCGGTTATGAGACGTATATGAGAACGATCCTTCGCAGTAAAGCACTATTTGAGCAATAGTGAAAATCAGACCTGAAAAAAATTTCAGGCCTGTACGGGATTCGAACCACTGACCTCTGCGATACTAGTGCAGCGCTCTACCAATTGAGCTAACAAGCCAACTGGGAGCAGGCCATCAAATTAATTCGATATAAACCCGTAGATAATAAATCAAACAACAACAAACATATGAAACATATGTGTGAACTGCGGTTATAAGACTGATTCCTTTAATCACGGAATGAAATCTGTTGCGTTTCTCCTCCCTCTTTGTCTTTTCTTTAATTTTCCACAGTCTACGATCGACATAGCTAAGAACCCAAACAGGAACAAAATTTTTCTTGCTTACTTTGCTATTTAAACAGAAACATCGCAATTTTCTATACCTTGTAATATCCCGCTCATTTCCACTTTATTGTGAAATCCAATCTGCCGCGGGTATTTTAACAGGTGTATATCGATCACTACCAAAAGAAAAAGGAATAAAAACACCTTCTTTGTACCTTTTTTATGAACAGAAATACATAAGAATTATGTTTTCCGATGAAAGAGAGAATAGAACTAACTTCTTTGTAACTTAAATGATGACTTTTCTGTTTTGTTTTCATTTTTTTTTCCAGTTCTGTTTTCCTACGTTGGTAGCTAGAAAGCGTTAAATTTACTTCATCTTACTTTAAACATTTAGACCGTTGTGTTCGATAATGATTTTTTTTTTCACAGTCAGCTATCTATTAATCAAAGAATCCAAACAAGTAAGTCGTTGATAACGATTTCATAAGATCAACATGGAAAGTTGACATAGCTGACCCAATTGTTCTGTCCATGTTAGCTATGCATTTGCTGCGTGCCCAAAGAAACCTATATCATGCATTCCTGCAGCAAACGAGAGAGAGAGGGTGAAAACCCTTTTTTCGGCAGCTTCTTTATGTTCTTTTGGTTTTTGTAAAAAAAAAAAAAAAAACCGGTTGACCCAATCCAATACCGTAGCATTTACTTAAAACAGGCTAGCCGTTGGGTTCATTTCAATATTGAGTGTTTCTCTTTGAAGTCAATTTGACAAAGATTTTCTTAGAAAAGTCTTGGACGGATCTGAATTTTTTGCACAGGTGTCTACACTGAGTAAACTGTTTAAATAACTTTTTTGTACCTGCATATTTGTACAATGAACACTTAGACAACGGGTCTGTAAGATAAACATGGGCCTGTTAATTACACGGGGTTCAACCGAAATCGCACTTTTACATAGCCAGTGGGCTTTAGATATTCTCTATAAGAGTGTTAATTTAATGTAATAAACGTCATTCCGCTGCTAGTTTTCGGCCTTTTCGACACTGTTCACAAAATATAAATGTTCAGATAAAAGTTTTAGCTTTGTTAAACGGCGACTAAACTTTCTTAGAATAACCGGCCATGAAAGTTTGCATAGCTCAGTCAACCGCTCTATCATTGATGCCATATATTTGGACAAAGAAGTTCCTAAGATAAACATTGATAGTTTGCATAGCTTAGCCAACCGTTCTCTTCATGATACCATATTTTTCTTGTGTGCAAACAAACAGCGCTAAGTAATATCTGTAACATCTCGTAAAATATTCCATAGACTCCTTTCTTAAAGGAAACTCCTTTTATAACGTAAGAGTAATGACCGAAGCGCCATATTTTTTCGACAATCTCTTTGTCAATTTTATTGCCTCTCTTTAACGGTTTTATCAGTAAAAAACCTGACCAAGATCAGCTCCAGCGAGTGATACTAAACAAATAGGCAGATAAATAGACTCACGTCAACCTTATTTACCCTTTTTGAGGCATGACAAACTGAAGAAACATGTTGATATGTCTCTGATCTTTTGTTAGGTAAACTGTTGCGCTTTTGCACGTGAGATTTGTACAGAAAGCACTTGAACAAAGAGAGTGTTTTCTCCGCATTGTCGATTTTCATGCAAAAACAGGCCTTGCTGAGCTATAAAAGTAGTCACTGCTCCAGTTCATAAGATTGCCTTCAGTTGCAAACAGCATAGCACTGTGATCAAGATGAACACTCTTTTGCTGGTCCTGTTTTTCGGAGGCTCCGTTGCCTTAGCAGAATTGCCTTTCGAGGATTCAGCTATCGATAAACTTCTAGATGTTGAAGGAGAAGAAATCACTGGAGATTTGGATCTGGAAGTGGAAAATGATCCCTTAAAACCCAGTGGTCGTCCTTCTCTTCCACTCAAGGAGGTAAATTCAGTTTGGGGCCAAATGTCTTAAGAGCGTGTCCACGAGAAAACGATACTCTCTGGGAAATTTCTTGTAAATTTCAAGTTATTTTAAGTTAATAAAACAAAGATGTGGTGTACGGAATTTTGATGATG